ACTTTGTACTTTCTCCTAAACTCTACCTGTCCCCACAAGATTTACAGCCAGTGCCATCTTGATTCCAAACTACCCTTTGAATCTGTCTGCAAGGCTTCCTTTTCTCTGACTTCCCTGTGACCTGAAAGCAGCCTTGCTGAGGCTCACTCCTTTCTTACAACTTTTCTAAGGAGTCAAAGCAGAGCACCACCTAGTCTCCTGTTACTTCCTCGACCCTACATCCTTTCTTGCTTGCACTGTCTTTAGCCTTCATAAACATACTCTGAACAATCACCCGGACCTCTGTTGTGAAATCTTTCCTGCACAAAGTCAAAACCACACACACTACAGGCTGCCTGAGGATCCACTCCACGTTGGTTCCGTCCTGTAACAATTTGACTGTGGTGACCATTTGAGAATCAGGGATTCACATGCAAGGTGCCTCACCCAGGCCATGGGAAGTCTGATCATGCCCATCTATTTCACTGTGCATGAGCTGTCAGATTACAAAACACCCTGCTTATCCTGGGTCTCCTTCAGAAACCTGTTCCATCCCCAGAGCCCCCGCCCAAGATATAAAACCAGAAAAATGGGATTACATTATACTACAAAACAAGGGCTTATTGCATTATCAAAGGACTAGACTTTTTCCACTGATAAAGAATGTTAATACTGGAGGCTAAAACAAAAAATATCCAGTGCATTGTACAAAATATAAAAAAATATATTAAAACTTGATTCCAGTACAAAAAAAAATTTATTTCATGAAGCAAGGTCAGACATGAGTGAAATTCTACCATGCACCTTTGTTGTTTTGCTGTTCTTTTGTCATAGAAAATTGCCAGAACTCCTATCAGATTAGCTAGAACATAGGATCAGACACATAGCAAAGATACAGACATAGCAAACGCACATCTGAGAAAAGGCTCATTGATAACCCTTAGAGACATAATTATGAAACAGTGAGATAGCAGTATAATAATAAAAAAGGTTAATATTAAAACATGACAGACAAAACCAAGTATTCTGTAGGATGTGAAGGAACACAATCTCTCATACACTACCAGAGAATGCAAAAAGGTAAAATCAGTTTAAATCAAAAGGTGCTAATGTCTGTAACTTAGCATTCACCTGCCATATGATTCAGATTGTGCAGAGTTATAGACAAAGGTAAATGAAACTTATGTCTATATAAAGAAGTACAACAAGTATTTATACCAGCTAATTTTAAATAGTCAAAAATTAGGAAAAAAAACAAAAGCAATAGATAAATGCATAGTGCTACCTTCAAAGATGACAATATTTCTGACTTCTGGCCAAGATAGAGGCAAAGGTAGATACACTTTGCTTCCTCACACAACTAAAAAAACAACAAATTTAAAAACAAAAAAACAAAACATAACTGCCAAAAATCAAACTGTATGGAAGTCTGACAACCAAGGATGTGAAGACACATTCATCCAGAGTGGTAGGAAGGGCAGAGACAGGCAGCTGGAGTGGCGAAAACACCTGACAAGGCAGTTACAGACTATGCGGGCCAGGTTCCAACTAGCAGAAAGAAGGTTGAACATTCTTGTGTGGATAAATCAGGAGGAATGACTGCAGGGTGAAACAAACCACACAGCCAGGAATTCCAATGTGGGAAACTAAGGCCTCAGAACCTCTGGCTGTAAGAACCTGTGGGTGTTGTAGTGATGGGAGTAACTTCCAGTCTCACAGGACAGTCCAATGAAAGAATACACAAGCCCTAGAAAGTACACAAACCCACCCAACTGAGAATCAGCACCACCACAAGGCCCCAATTTCCTAGTGGGTAGCAGGGGAAGTGACTGAAAGTGCAGCAACAACTAGGCAAGCCATATTCCTCCTTCTCAGATGCCTCCATTCTATACAGCACTTACAACACGGTCAAGTGGGTTACTCTACCCTGGTGAATATCTAAAGCTCTGCTCCTTACCATGTAAGGCTGTTACCAAAACAAAGAAATATAGCCCAAATGAAAGAACACATCAAAGCTCCAGAAGAAGAGCTAAGCGATCAGGAGAGAGCTAACCAACAAGATGCAGAGTTCAAAACACAAGTAATCAGGATGCTCACAGAAAAGACTGAGTATGGTTGCAAAAGAGAGGAAGAAGTGAAGCCTTCGAAAGGTGAAATAAAGAAAGATATGCAGGGAACCAACAGTGGCAGGAAAGAAACCGGGACTCAAACTTAACTATTCGAAACTGAAGAAAAAAGTAAACATTCAACTGAATAGAAGGGAAAAACATGATTCCAAAAAATAAGGAAGAGGCTTAGGAACTCTGGGACAACTTAAACTTTCCACCGTCCATATCATAGGAGTGCCGGAAGAAGAGGAAAAGCAAGAAATTGAAAACTTATGGGAAAAAGTAATGAAGGAAAACTTCCCCAATCTAGCCAAGGAAAGAGACTTCTAAGAAGTCCAGAAAGCTCAGGGAGTCCAAAAGAAATTGGACCCAAGGACCATGCCAAGACACATCAGAATTAAATTATCCAAGATTAAAGATAAGAAGAGAACCCTAAAAGAAGCCAGAGAAAAGCAGAAACTTAACTACATGGGAGTACCCATAACCTTATTTCTGTAAACAAACCTTATAGACAGGAAGGGGCTGGAAAGAAGTATTCAAAGTCATGAAAGGCAAGGACCCGCAACCAAGATTACTCTATCCAGAAAAGTTATCATTTAGAATGGAAGGACAGACAAAGTGCTTCTCAGATAAGGTCAAGTTGAAGGAGTTCCTCATCAACAAGCCTTTATTATATGAAATATTAAAGTGAGTTATCTAAAAAAAAGATGAAAACTATGCACAGTAAAATGACAACAGACTTGCAATTATCACCAACTGAGCCTACAAACAAAAACAAACTAAGAAAACACCTAGAACAGGAACAGAATCACAGAAATGGAGATTACATGTAGGGTTACCAGTGGGGAGGCCAAGGGAGTAGTATGCGGGGAATGGTACAGGGAATAAAAAACATAATTGGTAGGTACAAATTAGACAGACAGATGGAGGCTAAGAATATTATAGGAAATGGAGAAGCAAAAGAACTTTTACGTATGACCCATGGACATGAACTAAGGGGGAGTGGGAATGCTGATGAGAGTGGGGTAGAGGACAGAGGGGGAGGAAAAATAAGACAACCGAAATAGCATAATCAAGAAAATATACTTAAAGAATTCTCAGCATAAGCAGATGAGCCAATAATATGTCATTAAAATTGCACCCTGGCTGGTGTAGCTCAGTGGATTGAGCATGGGCCTGCGAACCAGTTCCCAGCAGGGGACACACGAAAGGCAACCATACATTGATGTTTCTCTCCCTCTCTCTGTCCCTTCCCCTCTAAAGATAGATAAATAAAATCTTGAAAAGAAATTGTAAAACTACTTATAAGAATGGAACATAAATCATTGTTCACTTCCAGAGCTGCGAAGGGCAAGAGAATTAAAATGGCCACATGGTAAATTCCCAGTGACAGTAATAGTCAGTACTGTGACAATGGTGATGGTTTCAATGTCATGTATAAATGAAGACAGATCAACTATTATACTTGAAATATGTTCACTAATTGTAACATTTAAAAAGTGTGTCAAGATTTTTTAAATGCGTTCATGCAACTCTATATTCAGTCCATGTTCTCATGTGCTCTGCATGTCGCTTTGACTCAGCACCACAAATAAAACAAAATATAATTAAAAAACTCACTGAAAGAACAGCACTGCTGGCTGGGCCAAAATAGCTACATCACTGAATATAGATTCACTTTTTGTTCATTTTTCTTTCTACCAGGATACCAGTGGCTCTGACATGAACATCTCAGAGGTGACAGAAATCCACAAAGTCTTTAAATTTTTTTATTCATTTTAGAGAGAAACAGAAAGTGGGGGGAGAGAGAGGGAGGGGAACAAAGGAGAGGGCAGAGAAAGGAAGAAAGAGGAGAAAATGAAATCTGCGTTTGTAGTTCCACTTATGTGTGCATTCATTTGTTGTTTCTTGTATGTGTCCTAACCAAGAATTGAAATCAGAACCTTGACATATCAAGATGATACCCTAACCAAATGAGCAATCTGGCCAAGGCCACGAAACCTTTTCAATACATTCAATAATAATGACGGAATCAACAGAGATGAATATTCCTGCAGATCCTGCATTGTGTACACACCAATCCTACAGTCTTTTTCTCAGAAATGTTTCTGGATGCACGCTGAGAAAATACACGTTCTGTCTAGTTGCCTCAGTGTCCTCCAGCACCCGTCACAGCAGTATTTCTCTTATAATCAGTTTCCCTCACCTCTGTGATGTTACCACTTGACCATCCCCCATGAAATTGTAGAAATTATGGCACATGGTCCTTTGCAAGGACTGGGCCAGAGATTCCCTACAAAAATTTTGCCATCCTTTACTAAAATAAAATTCATGCTGCTCCCTGACATATTGAGGTTGTCATACCGACCCCTTCATTGCAGTGATGTCCATGTCTCCTGAAACTCACAGGATTGAGGCTTCTCATAAGAACTAGAAAGCCCACAGTCTTGCCTTGGGGCACATGAGCAGAAATGCAAGTCTGGCAAAAACCAGAGTTGATTTCTGCTCTAAACTGTTCCCACGAAGGCAGAGAAAAGTTGAGACACACACAGAAGTTCCTCACGTCTTGATGCTTTTGGGGCCCCAAATTGCTTATAAACTACACCACACAATAAGTAGAGCACCCAAGATTAAAGAAGACCTGGAAAAAGTCTTCCATTATTTTACCAAGCCAAGGGAGATCATCTTGGCATTTCCTGCACTGGTGATTTGGACATTCAAAAATGATCACTGGTTATGTAAAACAGCATGTCCTAAAAAATGCAGTCTTCCTACAGGCTGACATCTGAATTCAGATGATATTTTGTGGGCCAAAATTGAGTCATGTCAATGCTCCAAGTACTGAGAGTGGAAGGAAAAAAGACCCAAAAGCTAAGCTACTACTAATTTTCTCCAACAAATCACAGAAGTTACCTTTACTGACCACATGAGGCATGATGAATCATGTAATCTCTTGGACCATTATAGGTGGAACACTGGATATACCTTCAACTAATATGCAGTGACATGGACCTGGGAAACCATCTGGGTAAATCAAGAAAGTACAACATAGACACACATGCTTCATATATGAATGATAATGATGTGGAACCTCCTTACTGTTGGTGCTTGGCTGTATAAAATCTGGTTCAGCAAAGGCTTCATAGAATTCCATTATTTTTACCATGAAAGTAAAATCCTGTATATGTCCTAACATCTAAGACTTTCACATTCATTGTACTAATAAGGTCTTGCTTCTGTGTAATTTCTCATGAGAGCGCAGGCTAATTTTACTTCGATAAGATTTCCCACATTCACTGCACTCATAAGGTTTTTCTCCTGTGTGAAATCTCTCATGAGATCGCAGGCTAGTTTTACATCGGTAAGATTTTCCACATTCACTGCACTCATAAGGTTTTTCTCCTGTGTGAAATTTCTCATGAGAGCGCAGGCTAATTTTACTTCGATAAGATTTCCCACATTCACTGCACTCATAAGGTTTTTCTCCTGTGTGAAATTTCTCATGAGAGCGCAGGCTAGTTTTACACCGATAAGATTTCCCACATTCACTGCACTCATAAGGCTTTTCTCCTGTGTGAAATCTCTCATGAGAGCGCAGGCTAGTTTTACTGCGATAAGATTTCCCACATTCACTGCACTCATAAGGCTTTTCTCCTGTGTGAATATTCTGATGATAACGAAGGCCAGAGTGACTGTGGTAAGATTTCCCACAATCACTGCACTCATAAGTCCTTTTTCCTGTGTGAATATACTGATGACAACGAAGGCCAGTTTTACTGGGATAAGATTTGCCACATTCACTGCACACATAAGGCTTTTCTCCTGTGTGAATATTCTGATGACAACGAAATTCATGCTTTCGGAAGAAAGATTTCCCACACTCACTGCATTCATATGGCCTTTCTCCAGTGTGAAGCCTCTGATGACAACGAAGTGCACTCTTTTGGAAGAAGGATTTGCCACATTCACTGCACCCATAAGGCCTTTCTCCAGTATGACCTCTCAGATGACAACGAAGTACACTCTTCTGGAAAAAACATTTCCCACATTCACTGCACTCATAAGGCCTTTCTCCTGTGTGAAGACTCTTATGAGACCAAAGGCCAATTTTACTCTGATAAGATTTCCCACATTCACTACATTCATAAGCCCGTTCTCCAGTGTGAAGTCTCTGATGACAACGAAGTGCGTTCTTTCGGAAGAAGGATTTTCCACATTCACTACACTCATAAGGCCTTTCTCCAGTGTGAAATCTCTGATGAGAACGAAGACTACCTTTACTGCTATAACATTTTCCACATTCACTGCATTGATAAGGCCTTTCTCCAGTGTGAACTCTCTGATGACAATGAAGTGAATTCCGTCGGAAAAAAGATTTCCCACATTCACTGCACTGATAAGGCCTTTCTCCAGTGTGAAGTCTCTGATGAGAAACAAGGTGATCACTTCTGGTAAAAGATTTCCCACATTCACTGCACACATAAGGCCTTTCTCCTGTGTGAACTCTCTGATGACAATGGAAACGAGTGCTTTCAGTGAAAGATTTCCCACATTCACTACATTCATAAGACCTTTCTCCAGTGTGAATTTTCTCATGTAAATACAGGCTACTTCTTCTTTTAAAAGACTTCCCACATATGACGCACTGATAGGGCCTTTCTCCAGTGTGAACTCTATGATGACAGCGAAGTTGAGACAATTTTTTAAAAGATTTCCCACATTCACTGCACTGATGTGGCTTTTGTCCACTGGGAACTCTCCGACAAAACCTAGAAATTCCTGGGAAACAGTTTGTACCGTCATGGCACACAAAACACTGTCTTCCAGTATGGACACCCTTCTTTTGAATATCTGCATGGTTGCAGCCAAGGGCTTTTGTACACTCACTCAGGGTGAAATAATTTTCTCTGCCTTGAGTAGTGTTTCTAGATGCCCAGATTCCATTTGGCCAGTCCCTGGTGCAAGCAGCCTCTTGTTGGAGATGTTTTGACTCAGTAAGGATGTCCTGTCCAACCTCCCCACAGGTAAAAAGCTTCTGGGACACACTGACATTGCAGCCCTCTGCAAGGAGGAGCCTGTCCACACCTCTTCTCAAAGGCTTCTCTCTCACATGGTGCTCTTGGTGCTGGTGACACTTTGTACTGAAGTAAAATTGTTTTGCACATGCCCCACACTGCAATGATTTCTGGCTGGGTTGTGTTTCCTGCTCTTCAGTCAAGTGGAAAATGTATCTCAGCACTGGCCCACAACTCTCACAGGGGTGGCTCTTCTGGGAAGACAAAGACACCTTGGGTTTCTCTGCCTGTACCACTCTTACAGAAACGTTTTGTTCAGTCAGTTCATCCACGTCCTCTGCACCACAGCAGCAACCTGAACAAAAGAGAACACTGGTCAAATATATATTGACCTTGTGAGGAATGAATGTCCTCATCGTAAATGGCCAGCTCTCACATCTAGGCATGATTCTATAAAGTCATTTTCAAGAGATGTGAGTTACACGCTGAAGAAATGGCTGTTATACATTACTTAGCCAAAAAGTATGGCAGTGTTGGTGACCTCACTGAGGAAGAGACATGAGTGTAGGATGAAAGAAAAAGTAGATAGCTGGGGTGTACTACTATTCTTCACATACGGCTTCCTATACCATCTTTCCCACTGGTGAGGTGAGGCTGTGTAGAATAATTTCAATGATCTCAACCTCATCTAGATCAATTGTAGTAGAGCTTATGATGTTCAACATTAATGTAATGATATGTGTGTACTCTGAGGGTCTGTAAGCACAGACCAAAGTTAGAGTGAAGTAACTAAATACAACAAAACAAAACCTGTATTAGAAAGAGTTGAGGCCCTGGCTGGTATAGCCCAATGCATTGAGTGCCAGCTTGCAAACTGAAAGGTTGCTGGTTCGATTCCTAGTCAGGGCACATGCCTGCATTGCAGGCAAGACCCCCAGTTGGTGGTGCTTAGAAGGCAATTGATCGATGTACCTCTCACACATCACATGTTTCTCTTACTCTTATTGTCCCTCCTTTCTCCTATGTCTAAAACCATTTTTTTTTAAATGGCTGAGGAGCAAAGTTTACATAGGTGAAGATTACCTGTAGGCTGAAAATCTGAGTAGAAATGATAACTCAGAACTGATTCTTTAACACTCTGTCAACAATAAACAAGCATAGGTAGAATAGGGTGAGGAATTAGCAATGGTAACAAATACTAATCGACAAAATGGGTTCCTAGTTATGACTTTAGCAAAACCCATGTGCCAAACCCTCTCCAACAGCACTTCGCTAAAAGGGGACAGCCTCTGTGTCCACTCTGCATGGAGAGAGTTGTGTTTCTCCTGGAACGCACAAAAAAAAAAATGTCTCCTTAAATCCCAGTGGAGCCATTACATGGAATACACATGATATAAATTCAAAGAGAAGAACTGAAGAGGTGGATGGGCAACATTGTGGTAGAACAACAAAGCACAAGAGACCACAGAGGAAAGGTCTATGTGAGTGACTTCAACAAGATGGACAAATAAGAAATAGGAGAATTCTCCCTTCTTCCATAGCAGCAAGTAGATGGCTATCCACAAAAAGACTCAATCATGGAGGAGGGGAATATAAATCTAATTATAAAAATAGGAAATCAGCCTTGACCAGGTAGCTCAATTGGTTAGAACAGTGGTCCCCAACCCAGACCACTGACCCATACCACTCCACAGCCTCTTAGGAACTGGGCTCCCCCGAAGGACAGGTGTCCTCCTGTATCCTCCTGGCCCCCTCCACAGTCGGTGAGCAAGAACCTGACCTGAGGTGCACCTCCAGTTTCCCTCCCCTCAACCGGGTACACTCCCATGCCACCCATCCCACCTTCTGGTATAAAGGTTCTGAATGCCAAAAAGGTTGGAGACTGCTGGGCTAGTGCATCGGCCCAATAAGCCAAGATTATGGGTTTGATCCTTGGTCAAGACACATACAAGAAGCAACCAATGAATGCATAAATAATTGGAAAAAACAAAGTGATGATTTTTCCTCTTTCTCCCTTTCCCTTGTCTCTCTAAATTCAATAGACAAGCATACATACATAAAAACAAACACAAAAGACAAGCAGCAAACTATGTGCAAAAAACACGGAAGAGCACAGAAAAGAAGACAGGGAAGATGGGTAAACAAACAAATTTGAATATAGCAAGGGTCAAAAACAAGGGTCACAGTTACTTCGATCAACTACTGTGATTGCACTCAGGTTGGCCTTAGTGCACTGTTCTGTGAAAAACACAGGAAATTTTTGTTTTCAAGAACCAAAGAAGCCTCTGAAACATCCATGAACTCCCCATCGTTTACAAATCAGAGGACCCTACGGAGTTTCTCAGCATGAATCCCAAAACACATCCCTTTGTCCACAACATAATCCAGAAAGAACCAAAAATTCAGTGCCACCAAATATGTCAAAACCCTTTAATGTCATTGAAAAGAAACGCTGCCAAGGCAACGGCTAACCTGCACATTTTTTTGTTATTCTGCCCTCAGCTCATGTAGCATCATGGAGACAAGGTTGGTGGGAACTGTCTCAAGATTGAGACACAACACTAACTCAGCCAACCTTGAAATCCACATGAAAATGAATCTATCTCTCCAACCAGAACTAGTCCATAAAATTGAAAGGAGTTACTGCTTCATCAAATGCATAGACATTAATAGAGGATTAAAAAAAATACTAAAAACAAGGAAACCACCAAGAGAACATAATAATTTCCCAATAATTGATAACAAACACATAGATTTCAATGTACAACCTGATAAGGAATCCAAAATATTTACTTTCAAAAATATCCATGAGCTGCCAGGGAATACCAAGGGAAGCAACTTCAAGTAGAAACCAGCATGAGAACAAGAGGAGAATATCAGGTACACAGAAAAATGTAAATAATTAAACAGGACTGCTTGGTGTGGATTTTACCACACCAATTGAGTGCTGGCCTGTGGACCAAAAGGTTGTCAATTCAATTCCTAATCAGGGCACATGCCTGGGTTGAGGGCCAGGTCCTCGGTGGTGGTCACCTGACAGGAAAGAGAAAATTTTGGTGGCATCACACTTTCTGACTTCAACCTACAACAAAGTCACACCAACCAAACTGTGTGTCATTAAAGTAAACACAGACCACTAGAACACAATAGACAATACAGAAATAAACATAGGCAGTGACATTCAATTAATCTTTGATGGAAAAAAAGGCAAGACATATGAGAAAGAAAAAATAGTTTGCTTAGTAAATAGTGTTGAACATTCACATGTAAAACAAAAAACTGGACAACACTGATAAAAACGAGCTCAACTTTCATTAAAAATTCAATGTCAGTACTGAACTTAAAGCTTCTTCAGACAACCTAGGGCAGTATTAGACATTTGCTTTTTTTAAAATCATACAATTATTTTTTAAAAGATTTTTACTTACTTTTCTTCTCAAAAGAAGGGGAGAGAGAGAGAGAGAGAGAGAAACACCAATGTGAGAAGAAAAGGTGATCAGTTGCCTTACACACGCAACCAACTGGGCCCCTGCTCTGCAATCCAGGCACGTGCCCTGACTTCGAATACAACAGGTGCCTTCCGGTCTGCAGGACTTAGCCACAGCAGCCAGGGCTGAAGGTTTGTTTTTCAAATAATCTTCTGAATGTGACAACCACCACCAGGGGAAAAAGCAAATATAAACAGACTGGATTAGGACAAATAAAAAATTTCTCCACAGGTCAGCACTTAACAATGTAATGAGAAGGAAGCCCTGACCACTGCGGCTCAGAGGGTTGGGCATCATCACTCAAAGCGAAAGGTGGCCTGTTGGATTCCCTGTCACAGGGAACAGGAGTGGACTTGGGGTTCAGTCCCTGATGGGGGCAGGAGAGAGAGGGGAAGGAGCAATGTTTCTCTCTCACATCATTTTTCCCCTCCCTTCTCCTCTATCTAAAAATAAAAGTAAATATAATATAAAAATAATAATAATAACAAGAAAAAAGGTAAACCCAGCATGGGAGAACATACTGGGACACCCTATAAAAATATGGCTTGAAGATATTGTGGGTTCAGGTTAGAAAAAGTCACATAAATTTATGAGGGCTATTAACAAAGTAACACCTTAGTCTAAAAAAAAAAAAAAAACTCTACATAGCTTAAATAAAAATAATTTATCCCTAAACACTGGTACCCAGCATTTCAGCATGATGAAGAATTACAGCACTACACTTGCTGAATACAGGGTTGCCATATTAAAATTCTAAAACAATAAATTAAAAAAGCAATATCTGCAAAGCAAAATTGAACAAATGAGAAAAGCTATGTGCCAGTAGATGAAAAGGAATTAAGATATAAAATACACAAGGGATTGAAAAAGACTCATTAGCCAAAATTGTCAAAAGAGACATTTGTCAAAAATATGTATATACAATGACCAACAAGAATAGAAAAAATACTTTTTGTCATGAACCAAGGTGGTATTTATTAGTCTCCATAGACAATACCAACCACAAATCATTCCCTGTGAGTTCTCTACAACAGGGACTGGTACTGCAGGGGCAGAAAAGAGTGGTGCAAGCAAACCAGCCCTACCAAAAAAAGGAACTGCTAAGAAAAGTGGAAAATTGAGCAGTGCTTATAGTCCACGAATGAAAAGGGAGTACTCCCTAGAGAACAAGGGGCATAAGGAAATGCAATGCCTGGCCCACACCACTGGCAGAGTGAAGGCATTACCCAGTGAAGATATAAGTTCAAAGTTCTCCAGCATCACATCCAGGTACAGGTGTCTCTGAGCTTCATCGAGGAGACGCCATTCTTCCCTGGAGAAGTACAGGGCAATGTCCGCAAAGGTCACGCCAACCTGTCACAATGGAGACAAATGAATGAAGAGCTGTCTGTCTGAGAACCCTGGTATTACTTCTTACAAATCTTCCCCTCCCTATATTTCTCCCCAGGTCAGTGTGGACATCAGGCCCTAACGCCAACGCTGGCTACTCTCTCATCACAGTCCCATTAACTACTGTTAGCATGGTCAGCAACAGCAATGTGGTGAACCTCACACAAAGGTCATCGAAGCCCTGGGCCACAAATACAGGCTCCCATCCTTCCTGCCAAGTCTCCCAGATCATGCCTCCAAGGTATGGCCAAACATGAGCTTAGGATTCAGCCCAATATCCTCCCACCAGGGCCCACGATCTACAGCACACACTTCCTCTAGGTGTGCACACCATTGTGCAAGGTCTGCCTCCTGCACATCTTCACACCCCAGGTCCACGCCCTCAGTTCTGCCACCTTCCTGCTGCGCACACCACGGGCATCTCTCTGGACTCACCTATGAACTAAGTGGGCTTACGGCAGCCAAAGAGTCCTTGAAATGTTCCAGCAGGATCCAGCACAACCCCAGTTTTCTGTTGGATCTAACAGCCCAGTAAAGTCCCAAATTATTGGCTCTTTAGTTCACCCTGCCTCCTCTTTGCTTCAATAATCCTCACCGAGATCCGCGCGGGAGTCCCAGATACGAATAAGCCCTGTCCACTCTGCACTGTACTTGCTGTGTCCTCAGAAACCACAACCCTCCTCTCCCCGATGAGCCTTCGTTTCCGACCCACCCGCCAAGCTTGGGCTGCAGGGCGTCCGCACCCGGGATGCAAGATTCGCTGTGGTGAGGCAGTTAGGTGGATGGAGGTATGAGGGGACGCGCACTTACCTCGGCCGTGCGTCTCAGGGAGGCCGCCAGTGCACTCTGAGCTCGAGGCTGGGCGGTAGCTGCGGGAGAGGCGGCCACTCTCGCCATGGCTACCCCTGTCTCAGCCCTGACGCGAGACGCCTGGGAATCGTCGTCCAGCTTCTTCCTCTCAGGTGAGCTTTGTGAACCCCGATTCTGGTGCCTTCTCCGCCCCGGCATCTCCACCAGCACCCAGCGAACTGGACCTTCTGTGCACGTAATTAAGCGGATTCTGGCTGAAGGAATTTGCCCGCCACGAAGAGGACGCCGGAAGTCCCGCCCCTGTAAGTGAGTCCCAGGGAAATGACTTTTTAGACCCTCCCCCCCACTGGGTAGGCGTGGCGTTATTACCTGCACGGTATCCTGAGAATCCAAGGCGGCGACTGGGAGGTCCCACATCACTACAGTAGAAATGACCAAGACCCATGGCTAAATGCGCTGGGAAATACCAGGTCCCCACAAAGAACTTCATCTTTTCCTGGTGAAAGGGCTTCAGCCCATCATAATGAAAACAAATGACCTGTGAGCCCAATATAGGAAATCATAATATAAAAGGTATGCCTGCATTGCAGAGTCCTGAAAATATTTATACAAATGAACTGGTTAAACCATCATATATGTATGTGACAAGTATAACACAAGACTGTAGGACAAGCCTTTAAAAGAGAAAGAACTAAATGCATAATATAAACAGTACATGGAACTCTATTCATTTATAACTTGAACATCAATTTATCAATTAAGATAAATAATTTAAATGACAGAACTGAATTCTGACAGTGATTGGTGTCTTTGTTAATGTGTAGATGCATCTGTATTTATCATAGTGAAAGAGAATTTGTTCTTTACTGACATATTTAAGACATGAGTTGAAATGTTATCTTGGGCATTCTCAATGATTGACATTATGAACATATTTGACCTTATAGTTAGTGTAAAACAAGCATATATTTATAATGATACTTGACTTATGTATAGCTCAGACACTTTAAAAACCATATGAACCATTATAAGTAACAAGTAATTATGGGTATGCATATGTGCAATAAACATTAAATTTCATTATAATTAGGTGAGAAGCATTTCCTATTGAAAATTTCAGAGCAGCCCTAGCCAGTGTGGCTCAGTGGATGAGTGCCAGCCTGCGAACCAAAGGGTTGCCAGCTTGGTTCCTAGTCAGGGCATATGCCTGGGTTGAGAGCTAGGTCTCCACTTGGGGATGTGCAAGAGGCAACCACAGGTTGATGTTTCTCTCCCTCTCCTTCTCCCTCCCTTAGCCTCTCTCTAAATATAAATAAATAATATCTCTTTAAAAAAAAGAAAATTTCAGAGCATTTATGACACTGAAATAGAAACCACAATTTGAAATAATTAAACTAAGTAATGTACCAGAGTTGAGAAAAATCTAAATCTTACCAGAAATTCTAAAAGTCACTTGTACATGAACATAATCCCCAGCACCCTGGAAATGACACAGAGATCACAGTAGTGGCCTGACAGTAGTGGCGACCTAATGGCATGGGAAGACTCTACAGTGTTTTCTTGTACATGAAACATCTTTCCCATGAAATCAAATCCCTCTTCCCTTCTTTTAAATGTGAGCTCTTAGCATTATGCTAAGTAAAACAAGCCAGGCAATGAAAGACAAATACCATATGATCTCACGATTAACAGAAACTTAATCAACAAAACAAACAAGCAAGCAAAGTATAGCAAAAGACATTGAAATTGAGAATAGGCTGACAGTGATCAGAAGGGAGAGGGAAGGGAACTATGGGGGAAAAGGCTGAAGGGTTTGCAGGATCAATTATAAAGGACATATGGACAATAATAAGGAATGGTGGAAATGAGGGAGGGAGGTGAGGAGGGCTAAGGTGGCGCGGAGGGGTGGAGCGAAAAAGCACAAAACTGTACTTGAACAACAATAAAAAAATTAAAAATTAAGAAAAAACATTTTATATGTACTGAGGAAAAAATAAAGTAATATGATTATCTAAAAAAAAATAATGTGTGCTCTTAAACTCCTCAGGATCCACATGTTTTCACTCCAGAGTGCTGGTCAATTTATGTTTTCACATAATTGATCGGCTAACAATGTATTATATCATGGAATATTTACTTTTTGAATTGTTGGCTGCTCCTTCAATAAAGCCTTGGAATATTTTGGTTGTGATCACATTTCTTCAATCACTACTATAGAACACACACCTAATTCAGCCTCTGAAGCAGTGAGATCATTATTAAATCATTATGAAAGCAATGAAACGTAATGGCTATTTTGCACAATTCCAAGTTTGTCTTCTCACACCTTACCATATCTTCCTCACCTCACTTTTCCCCATCAAATTCTAATGAATAAAAAGGACTCATACTTTGTAAAAACAAGACTTTCATGCTAGCCTAGTTTCAAGCATAGCTATAGTTGAAGTAAATACTCCTACCTCTTAGAATTCACTGTCCAATAATGACCACCCACTGAGATTTACCTGTTCTCAGGCTTCAGAGCCTGTTGTCTTCTAGCTATTTAAAAATGCTCATTTAGGGGGCGGTAATTATAAGGAGGTTAATGATAATGCAAAAAAGTCAATAAAATTTGAACAAAAATTTTAAAGAGAAAAGAAAAATCTCTAGAGATTTGGCATAAATTCATCAAAACCTTTCAGAAAAGGAAAAAATAAAGATTACTGAAAAGTGAAAAAAATTAAAAATGAAAAATGCTGAATTTATACTCTACTAATCATCATTCATACATTTCTGCAGTGTTTTTACCCTAACTTTTATGCCAGAAAGAATCTCCAGTCCCATGGAGACACTGTCACTGCACTATCCAGTGTAATTGTCATCATTTACTGGCAACGGGATGAAATCCTGAAGTGAAAAACTTTTCGCCTAGATTCAGATGCCCATATTCCCAAACCACACTGAAGCCAACACTGCAGCCATCCTGGCACCAAATGTAAATTTGGTACATTGTCCTTGATTCCAAGTCTATGTCATACTCTTAGATTTTTGGAATAGACCTTGTCTAGAAAATTCAAGAAGAAATGTCATATGCAAATACAGGTGAAATGATCATTGTTTCCTGGGAAGGATATGAGATCTTTGGATCCAAACCCTTTTTTCAGAGTCAGATGCCCACTCGCAAAACCTTCATGGATGACCACCTTTGTAGACATCTTGGTAGCAAAATCCCAAAGCCCCCCCCATATCCGCCAAATCCCAAACACCCACAGCTATAGCTTGTGGCAGTGGGGAAGCAGAGAGAGCCATAGAGAATGACTTTGCATAGCAGAAGAATTTGGCCAGTGTTTTAGTCATGTTAAAGGTTATGCCTGCTCAGAGCCAGGGAGATGGGCCTGACTCGAACCCCTGATAAGTTGTAGCTGGAGGGCCTTCTGCACTCGTGAGAGTGCAGGAAGGTGATTGGCTCTAAGTCTCAGGGACTCGCCTGGCCAGGCTAACAAGGGCAGCCAGAAAAGGCAGAAGAGAACAGGCTGCTGACAGGTATAACCCTTTGTGGGAGGATTTGGAAATGTAATTACTGAGCGAGATACTTATCTGAATATAAACCCAGGTGCAGGCACAGCCATGAGCACCCATTTTCTCTCTCTCCCTCCCCCCTCCCATGCTACAGCACTGGACCATGTGGAAAGGAGAGTGAGACAGCCACAAGAGGCTCTCTTTCACGCGTGCTCTTAACCATGAGTCTTGGGAGCAGAGACAAAAGTCTTGGCCATGTGGTTTGAAAGGATGCAAAAGGATTCCCAGGGCCTACCATGAGGATGTGGTTTTGGATTAAGAGCAGGAGCACAGATCACTCTTCGAAGCTTGAATAAAGACAGGAATCTGCCGAACTAAGCTACAGACTCTTTCTTTTCTTGAGAGACTGCATCTCTGACTGGCCACATTTGGCTGGGGTGGGGAGGTGGGGCAGGTCTACGCATTTGTGGGTGTTTCTTTATTTCTAAAGGAAGTGAGCCCTAGCTGCTGTGGCTCTGTGGATTGAGCACCAGCCTGTGAACCAAAGGATGGCCAGTTCAATATCTGGTCAGGGTATATGGCGGGAACGCAGACCCAGTCCCCTGTGAGGGATGCAATGAGAGGCAACCACACATTGGTGTTTCTTTCACTCTCTTTCTCCCTCCCTTCCCCTCTCTCTAAAAATAAATTAATTAATTAAAAAAAAAGAAAATGAGATACAATGGCAGAATTCTGCTATTATTCTAAACCTGTTTAACTTTTGAATAAATAGCTCCTTTCCTTTTCATAAAATTATGGAACTGGGAATCACCAATATTATGGTCAGTTAGCAACAGAACTCAGAGCACACTACAACCCGGTGGTTCTGCTACAACAGAACAGAACTCAGAGCCAGCTCACACCACAGCATGCCCACGGCCCTCCCCAGGCATGAACTTTTTACTTCCTCCTAAATCTAAGGGTCCCCACAAGCTTTGCAGCCCAGGTAGCAACAGAGATTAGCAGCTCGACCCAGGTTTACCCACTAATCCTGTCTCCATGGCCCCATTTTCTCTGACTTCCCAGTAGCTAACAGCAGCCCCACCTTGGCTCACTCCTTTCCTATAATGTTTCTAGGGAGCCAAAGCAGAGCCCCCCCCCCCCACCTGGGCTCTCTTCTGTTACTTTTTCTACCCTAAATCCTTCCTTTGTTTCACTGCAACCAGCCTCTAAAAAACGTACTCTCAAAACCACCTGGACTCCCGATGTGAAATCTTTCCTACTCAAGGTCAAGCATCCACACACTACATGCTAGTTTGTTTGAAACAGGCCTGCTCTGGGCTGTTTTCCCTATAGTAACATTCTGGTGTCCAATGTGGGGCACTGGAGTTATTTTCTTTCTCTTTTCTTGTCTTTCTCTCCCTCTTTAATTCATCCTTGTGGCTCTTGTCATTCTTGTTGTGGAGGAAACCTACCTGTCAGCTGCAGAGTAAGTCTCTTGTCAAAATGTCAAAGCTGAGACTGAAGGTAAGGCTACCCTCAGGACATGGAGTCATCTCAACACATGACTGTCCTCAGGTAATACCTGGGAGATGGAGTCTGGTGAGCCTGAAGCTAATCATCCTTGATGTCGAATGGGACTCCTTACCATGCCTTTTGCTGGCCTGTGTGGAGTTTAGAGTGTGTGGTACACATGCCCACAGGGCAAACTTGCTTCATATTTGTGTTCCCCTCTGGGCCATACTGGAATTGACACTCCCACCTGAGTGGGGTGAATCCATCCCTGGGACATCTAGCCAATGTCCCGGTTGAT